ATTTGTAATTAGCAAACTTGTAGAAACATTATGAATAAAAAAAGAGAAAAATTACAAAAAAAAAAAGAGAGAGAAAGAGAAGAAAACGCAGAAGGAAAGAAGTGTGCAGCAAACTAACGCGTTAGGCCTCCGATGACGCGACACGATGTTTTCTATATTAACGATATCGAAATAAATGCATTAAACAGAAATCTCCCAGTGTGATCTATGAAAAATAGTGTTCTCTCGAGTTACTCTCGGTCTCTCTTCCAACGACTCGCAATGTAAAAGCTCGAGCTTCGCGAATTAACGGAACCTCGTTAACTGAAACAGAGAAAAGGTATTTGAAAAATGTAACAAACGAAGCTGCACGCTTGCTGAAACGAACCTGACTTTTTTCTTGAGGGACGAGAGAGAGACAAAGATTCCGGAAGATATGGTAGTTCTGCAATTCGCGTGATATTCCACAGTGTTTTAACGAGCGAAACGACTACCTGTACACGAAACATTTTTCTTTCTTGTTGTCCTTCAAAGCCCGTGTCTCAAATGGAAAAGAGAGCAACTAAGAGAACCATCGAGGAATACTCGACCTTTGACCTTTTCCTTTTCCCGAATCCGCGACTCTCGCGGCCATCGCGAACGTGCCACTTGTCCGATTTGACACTCCCTTGACCTACGAGACGCCTATTTTCTCCAGTTGCAGAGTATCGTACTTATTCTCCGTATATATACATCTAATAGTCGAAACAGAATTACACGCGCTCTTCGATAAAAATAGAAGAATATACAAGTACGAGAAAACATCTTTTTATAAGCAACGATAAAATCCGAATTTAGTGGGAAAGGTGTGTCTCAACGTGCACGGATTTCTATCATTCGCGGTTGGTGGTAGGAACTAAAGCGGAATCGCAAAATTTATTACTCGATTCGAAACAGAGAGAGAGAGAGAGAGAAAGAGAGAGTGTGTGTGTAACGATTCGTGGAATCGTTGGCAACGATATTTCGGATACTGTTCGACCATGGAAAGAGAGAGAGAGAGAGAGAAAGAGAGAGTGTGTGTGTGTAACGATTCGTGGAATCGTTGGCAACGATATTTCGGATACTGTTCGACCATGGAAAGCAAGAAACAGTTTAACTGGAAAACAATACGTTTTTCTAAATAGCGATGTGTTCGTACTATTGACGTAGACGCGATACAGGAAAAAGCAGATTAGCAAACATCAAACTGCGCCAACGTGCACTCGGTTTTTATCTGGATACAATGCGTATTTTGGGCTTGAGCGCTGCTATTTCCGCGCGTCATGCGTTTATTCTGAACGTTTGCTTTCCTAAGTTACATACTTCTTCTACAACGTGCGAACGTATTTACCTCGTGTAGAAACATGTGTACACCTACGTGCACGATTTAATAATATCGAACAGCAGAAAAGAACACGATTACGAGACGATACGTCTACGTTTATGATCCAACTATTCTTTTCGTTATTCGATATAACGATACATACGCGAGTATAGGAATATTAGATCAATTATAGACGAATTGGAAATGACGAAGAAGCAAACGAACGACATATTGGCCGATGTTGAACGAGCACAACGATAGCACCGAGACCGTGAATTTCGAAGAAGAGTGGAAAGGAAAGAAAGTCGAGGCAATGGACGGCTCGCCGCCGAGTATCCCGTCATCGATCCTCCGGTCCAACAGCCCGACGTCTATTTTCATACAGGCTAACCTATTTATATATACGGACAATGTTCCACTTTTATCGGCCGATGAGAGCAGCAAGTAACCGCGCGTCACGTCGCGTCAGGATGGGACGCAACATATCGCATCAACTGCTGTTCGGAGTACTCTGTACCAATCCACATCACGCTATTTCACGTGTTCACCGGTACGCCACGCGCATCCTTATCTACGAGTATCTTTGCATACATTATGTATACCTCCTACCACTAACATGCCTCCGAGTTTTATGACCCCTCTTTCGATTTCTTTGACGTCAAAGGAGCTCTCTCAAGACGATATCGTCTTCCCTTAGGTATTAGGAAGAGATTCGACAAGTATACGTATTAAAAACTGCTCGAGTATCGAGAGGAAACATTGTAAAAATAAAGCGGTTACTTACTGGCTTGTAAGCTGCTATCGACTGAAGGCTCGTCCACATATTTTTCTTGTGACTTTGAAAATGTCTTCCACAACCTGTCGAATTCGACGACGAACGGCTGCACCAGCAAATGTTGATTGGTTACTACTACGTGATCGAAATTCCCAAAAAATGCAGACATTGTCCAATTCGTGCTACCAGTAATTACTATAGCGTTGTCTACGATCACAAATTTATGGTGCATCAAAACATCGTTATACACTAATCTCAGCGGCACCCCTAAAACGCATTTCAAACGTAATTTTCACGTATCGACGAAAGTATTAATTCGTGATTATGTTTCCGAATCATCGTTTATCACGCACCGTTATTATGGAATAATGACGTTTGGGCGGCATCGGTGCAAGCCATTTGCAGATCCATTATTATTCGAACCAATACGCCTCGTTTATGAGCTTCCACGATTGCATTTGATAACAATTGGCATGTTAACATGTACATGCAAACATCTAAACTCCGTGTCGTCTGGTGTATATAACTTTCCAACTTCCTATAGTATCATTCATCGTTTAATTAGAAAAAATAATAAAAAATATTAATAAAACTTGTTTGAAATTTGACGGACAATCGCGTATTACCTCAAATATCGAACCGGACAACTGTCTTTGAGGCAAGTCTGTTTGTCAGCGAAATGTATTCGACAAAGACTAGATTCCTTTGTAAAAAACATAACTTCTGAGATGTTTTGTTTCGACTTGTAAATACTGGCTTTCGGAATCTTGCATATGTTCGTAGATTTAGACCATAGGTTATATAGTTTTTTGTATAAATACCAAATGACTTCCGATGAAAGAATTATTCCTCCCGCTAAGAGAATTTTATTGCTTCTCATTTCTATAATAAAATTTCCAAATAAACTTACAAACAGAAGTGAAATAGTATAAATATTTTATTGAAATCGAACTGTACACATTGCTTGTAACAGCATTTTGTTTTACCCACGCTTACGAACTACGCATCATTAAAGAGCGCATGAGTGAGTGATGAAGTACCAATAAAAATATCGTAACTATAAAGTTACAGCATTAATAAGCAAATGAATATTTGTGATTTTTTAAAATTTAGAATTACTATTGATAATAAGCGCTAAATAATGAAATATAAAAACAAAACATTACAACATAACCTAGATTACAACTTTACTGAAAATCAAACGCTAATTACGTTCTCATAATTTTATTGTATAATGATAAATATGACACATCATACCTGAGTATATATTTCTCATAATTTTTTAAGCGCTTTAATTATCTCTTTGAAAGGAAAACAGACAATTGATCCAACGGATCACTAACTTTGCCGCCACTAAACAATGCGTACTCTCGTGAAGTTAGCGTTTAGTACTGACAACTTCCATCCTTAAATCCCCACCTATAGTTCTAACTTGCACTATGTCAAATATGTTTCCCACTCTGATAGATCAATTAGGATAGTATCATTATTTATGTAAAACACAAAAATCGATGTGAAACAATTATCAAAAGTTTACCTTTATTAAATCTCATATAAAAACTTTTTGAAGTAGTACAAAAATATGGTAAAAAATTTATTGGCTCTGTCCCATTTGTTTAGATATAAATTCTTTATCTCTGTTCCAAAGAATATTACATATAGTATTCAACTGATAAGAACAATCAAACACTTCAGACCTTGTGGAAAGTTTGTTAATATCAATTCTGATAACTTTAACTTTCCACTTGTCTTCAAATTCCTTTATCCGAGCATCTTCTATTGTAGAACTGGACCATGGTTTAAATCTACAAAATATTTACAGTCCAATTAACTTACAAGATAGAAACAAAAGAGAAAAAAATTGTATTATAATAAATTACTTTGTTCCTATTACTATATTTGCTGGTTTCTCTTTTATAGCTGCCATAGTATTCATCAAATATGGAACGTCATTAAATCCTGTTGCGTCATCAAAGGAAAATACTGAACATATAGCATCTACTTTGTCTTTACATGCCTATAAATGTAAATACAATTTCTTGATATCCTACTCCGATATGTCATCTTTATGATATTTTAATATCCTACATACAGGCAATATATGATTATATTTCTTAATGCTTGTTTCTGAAGTATCCCAAAACTGTAGCTTAAACAATACAACTTTATCCCATATCTTGACTGGCCAAAATATATTAGTCTTTTTTATGCCATTAGTTTCAGTATAATTGCTGGATTCTAATGTTCCAGCAAGGCGAGCTACAACTGCAGTTTTTCCTACACCAGATCTACCAACCATAAAAATTTTATATGTAACTTCCTCGATTGAAGATGGTAGAGGAGGTCTTTCAAGAATACCTAAGAGAGTTTGCACAAGGTAAATTGATAATCGACGAATATATACAATGAATAACCATTCATCTGACTATCATTTTTACCATAAAATCTTCTCTTCTTCGATGTGTTTACATAAAAGTGGTGCATTAGCGATTCCCCTTCTACCGAATGTAACCAATTCACGTTTATTGCTGTCATGATATAATTGTGAAACAGTAAGAAGATGATACAGAAACCAAATGAATCTTCGATGAATATTGACGACCATAAACAAGATATTTCTCTATAAGACTCAGGTTACTGCACAATAATCATATCTGAAAAAATGAATCTTAGATGTCCGAGTAAATCTTAAATAATTGCACGCGTTATTCCATCGAAAAAGAGATAAGAGAGAGAATGCAATTCTATGTTGTTTTTTTTTTACTGCAAAGGACTTTATCAACCAGTGAGAATTATTAAAAAGATAACTCTTCCTCTATTCTTTTCACCAATTTCGATAAGTGGTACATTCCAACAAGTCTGACAACTTTACCCTACAAATTTGTATGCAACTTACGAATCCCGTATACATACGTAATCTTTCAACGAATCAGATAAAATCCCGCCTTCAAAGCACCAATAAGAATTACAGCACTATACTTCTGCAATGGGGACAAATAATTCCATTAGTAGTGAAGTTGGCGTTAGTTCAAATAAATGCCACATTGACCAATAAAATCCATTTACAACACGTAACGCGTTGTTTGCAGTTGTATCGCCATATTGTATATTTAACGCGGGTCACTGGCGCGTGTATGGGCTTTTCGTAAGATTTTCTGCGGAATAAAAGTGCGTGGATTAACAAAAATCGTGAAATATAACGCGCAATGGATCCAGAAAAGTTAAAAGTGGTCGAATTACGGACAGAACTCTCAAAGCGTGGACTCGATACGAAAGGCGTCAAGTCAGTGCTTGTTGAGAGACTTCGTAAGGCGATAGAAGAGGAAAATGCAAGCCGTAAGTTACTCTCTTTCTATTCTATAATCTTATAGTGCCTGAAACTCTTTTAAGCATATTGTTCTTCATCCAATGATCGACTTATTTGTGTACTTCAATGTTGACAAACATTCAAATGAGACAATAATAATTCATCTAACGTTTTCTGTTGTTTTTTCCATTAAATTATCTTATAATGGAAAGCGATAACCTGCTTATCGTTATTAAAAATAATCAATAGTCGTGAAGAATTTCTTTTTAATATTTCCAATGCTGTGTAGGCGCGAACTATGCGCGCCTTTCTTCTGTTTACGTACGAATTGTACACGCGACGCCACTACGTCTTTTTATTGGTTTTGGAGTGGGTAAAGTTTTTCTACATTTACATTAATTATGTTATCGCTTATGTATTAAAATTGGTAATTGAAGTAAAATCATATGATATGTACTGTTTAAATATTTAATGCTTCAGATTTATAGATAAATGTTGCATTTTATTATATTATTGAGTACTACAGCTTTTTATAAATTGATGTAATATAAATATTTCCAAATTATAGAGCTAAATCAGGGAAAAGTAAATGCCAGTACTGAAGAATCACAAGATGATGCAGTTCAAGAAAATGATGAAAAATCGACAAAAGTACCACAGACACCAAAAAAGTCTAGTAGATTATCCAAAAGTGCTTCTGTGATGCCAAAGGAAGATCCTGTGATGAAAAAACGAAGAACATCTAGAGTTGGGTATTCTAGAAGAAGAACGTCTCCAAAAAAAGCAGATCAAAATGATATGTCTCGTGAACCATCTCCCACAATATCTGAACCTGCTTTACAAGAAGAAGCTATACCAGAAGAAACTGCACAAGAAGAAGCAGCTATGCAGGAAGAAACCACTACACAAGATGAAACAGCTATGCAAGAAGATACTGTTGTTCAGGAAGAAACTTCTGTGCCAGAAAAAAAGCTTTTGTCATCAGAAAAAAATGAAGAAGAAGGAACAAAAGATTCATTGCAAAATATAGAGAATGAGAGTACTAATTCTATGGATGTTATAAAAGAAGAAGATGAAATAAAGGATACCGATACTACAGAAAGTAATAAAAATGAAAAGGATATAACTCTTTCACAAATATCTCCTGTAAAATCACCAGGGGGACATAGTGATACTGATGTTTCAATTTCAAAGGAATCATTAGATGATAAAGATGATGTGGATCAAAAACAAGAATCAATAGCAGAGATCAAATCAAACCAAGAAGCAGTCGAAAACACACGTCTAAAGAAAAGTGAAAATACTACTCCAGTATTTTCTGTTACAGATGCACAAGAAAATTTGACTGTAATTAATGATACATGTGATAAATCAGATAATACTAAAGGGGAAACTATTCAACACGAAGAGGAAAATGTAGAATCTGTAGATAATGATCATATTGTAGAATCAATTAATGATAATGAAACTACTGACATTCCTGACACAGAGCAACCAACAAATGATTTACTTGGAGAAGAACAAGATATAGATATCAATGAAAGTGATGAATTAAAAGCTGAAGATCAGTTCATGGAGAATAAAAATGTTTTGTCTACTAGTGAAAAAGAAGTGGATAGTAGTATTGAAAAAAGTCAAGATGAAGAGGTATGTATTATAAATTAATTCTTAATGGTATTATATGTATTACTTGTACTTTTATTTTAGATTTCATAATGCTGTTTTAATTTTTAAGCGACATTTAAAATGTCTCTTTTATTCTCTTGCAACGTTCATTGTCTTTACCTGATATGTACTTCATCTGGTACAATCCGCGATCTCAGTAAAATGTAGAGGACTACAGTTGAAATAAATTTCCTAAAATTGAAAATACGCTTGACGAAAAATTTTTAGAATTTTGTATTTTTAATATCTAAATGGAAAATAGAAGAAATATTCGTTGATACGCGTTTGAGATCGCGGATGTTTTTCAAAATTTACTACGTCCTCTACATTTTGTTACATGAGAACCTTACTGTACCTACAGGAAATATTATTTTTAATCATTGACCTATTTTCGTTTACGTGGAAAGGATATAGAAATGACAGAAATTAAACACGAAGAAGATACAGATGTAGATATGAAAGAACAAGATACGAACGACATGGTTAGGGATAAAAAGCGGAAAAGATCTCCTAGTCCTTTAGAAGATCGGCATGATTCGCCCTTTCCCATTGACATCGAGAATGAACCTGAAATTGATGATTCTGCTTTAATACTGTCGTGGTGTATGTTGAAAATTTAATACAAATAATTCAGTTATATAAAGCAAATGTTTAAGTAATTATTATTACTTCTTTTTATTTTTTTTATTTTAGATGATTCGGATTTAAATTTGGTTATTGATAAAGATGGATTTTTTACTGCTACACCTATGCTCAATGGCGGATTTTCGCTCATGTGGGCTGGTGCAAGAGCGTCCTATGGTTTTCTTTGTGGAAAGGTTTATTATGAGGCAAAAATAGTTGAATACTGTACCGTTAATGCAGAAAATGAAGAACATCCACATGTACTCAGAATTGGTTGGTCTACTCCTTATACTTCAATGCAACTTGGGGAAGAAAATTTCAGTTTTGGATATAGCAGTACTGGTAAAAGATTAACGGATAATCAGTACGAAGATTATGGGCTTCAGTTTGGAAAGGATGACATTATCGGTTGTTATTTTGATGCGACAACCGAAAATGTTATACTGTCTTATACAGTTAATGGAAAGGATCAAGGCATAGCATTTAGCATTTCCAAAGAAGAACTTAGTGACAAACCATTATTCCCACATATTTTAAGTAAAAATTGTAGCTTTGCTTGCAACTTTGGCCAAGAAACACCCTGGACAGATGAAATTTTACAAGATTACGTTTCAATCGGAAATGTGGAGTCTCAATATAAAATTCCTGGTCCACGAAGACCAGAGAAAAAAGACGAATGCGAAGTAATAATGATGTGTGGATTACCTGCTTGCGGGAAAACTACATGGGCAACGAAATATGCAACACAACATCCTCAAAAGATGTACAACATCTTAGGGCTCAGTAGTCTAATCAATAAAATGAAAGTATGTATTATAAATACTGTATTAGGACAGCATGTATTTTATGATAGGAACATTAATCAATAATATTTTTTTAAGGATCCCGGATTATCCTACAAAGAAGGTTATGACGAACAATGGAAGAGACTTATCGATAAATGTACCGATGCATTAAACAAACTGATGGAAATGGCTTCTAGTAGAAGGCGTAATTATATATTAGATCAAGTATGTATTCAAATTTTAAAATGTTCGACCTTTTGTTTAATGTCAAAATAATGCAATTGTTAATAATTGAATGTTATTTATATTTTACCAAATATAATACAGACAAATGTGTATCCTTCCGTACAACGACGTAAAATGAAAAATTTTTACGGATATCAGAGAAAAGCAGTAGTTATAGTTCCATCAGAAGAAGAATTTAAGTCACGCACTATCAAGCATAAATCAATAGAAGGCAAGGAAATTACTGATTCTATGCTTCTAGAAATGAAAGGTTAGTTTTAAGATTATAATCTTTATTTTGTAATATTTACATTTTTATTGTGGTATATACTACAACAGACGTTATATTTTTCTAGCGAGTTTTAGAGCTCCAGTTGTTGGTGAATCGTTCGATGTTGTTAATTGGGTTGAGCTTGATCAAGAAGAAGGTGGGAAACTTATAGAAAATTATAATAAGGAGGGGAAAGAAGCAGGCTATGGAGAACAACAAATGTATAAACGACCACGCATTGATTTGAGATCGGAGAACGCCCATGATTATCGAAGTGACATAAGAAGCAATCGCGACAATAGAGATAATCGAGATTATCGTGACAGGAGAAATAACTGTGAGAGTTATGGAAAATATACAAATTAATAAAAATTACAGGCTTAAACAGAAAAATTTCTTAAAAAATGAATATCTGCAGATTCCGACAGAAATCGTAATCCCGTTTGGCGTGGTAATATGGGATGGAGGGATAGACCACAAAGAGGAGGTGGGCATATAAGACACGGTGGTGGTAGTGGGGGTGGTGGTGGTGGTGGTGGTGGTGGAGGCGGTGGTGGTTATGGGCCTCCGATGCCACGCAGGAGAAGGGGTGTACCAATTCCACTTGTACACCGAGGAATGAATAGAAGATGTGGAAATGTTGACAGAAGAGGAGGAAATGACAGAGGGCGAGCTTTGGGTTCTCGTCAAGGTACCCGATCAAGAGCTCCAATAGGGTAATTATATTTGTCAGTTTTCTAATTTCTTATTACTAAACTTTTATTAATCATAATTAATATATACACGTGGATTAATTTTTTGTAAGGAATTATCAAGGGTCGCAACAGTCCGTTTGGAGTCAGCAAGGCAACTGGCCAAGTGGTCAATCTCAAGAAGGATGGGGCCAACAAAATAATTGGGGATCACAACCGTGGAGTAATTGGAAGAGTTATGGACAAAGCTCATACAATCAAAGCAATTATAATCAACAAGGATATGGTAATGGAAATTGGAGTAGTTGGAATCAGCAGTATTATAATCAGTATTGGGGCCAGCAGCAACAGAGTGGACAAACAACAACAACTAGCGGACAAACTGCGAACAAACAATAATCCACTAGGATATATGTCATAAAAGTGGAATAATAAGGTACATAAATAGTTCCGACTGCTTCTGTTAGATAAACATATGAAAAAAAGAAATCCACTTCAGAATTAGATTAAAGTAGAGGATAATCGTATTTAATAATTTTGCTTTATATGCTATTTATAATGTCTTTTTTTTAAATAACATTTTTCTTATTCATTCTGTTATCGTTGTTATTCTTAGTACAAATGATATTTCTCGTACGACAGCGTATGTATTTTTTTTCAGGCAGAATGAAAAACATAACTGCTTCATCTAACGATTCCACAATGGGATATAGACTTATCCTCAAACTGACGAGGAAAAAAAATGAAAACTCCAGGTCATAGTGTTGTCGATACTGGGCATCGGTTTTGATCACACATAAATAGATGGACAAATTTTTCCACGACAATATATTCACAATTTTTGTTCGTATATTTTGCAATGTACGAAACCCAAAGTTATCTATCGCGATTTTATAACTCGAGCAACAATCTAGATTTTGTCGAGTGAAGGCACCGTTACACATGCATCACATGAAATTGTTTTGCATTGCAAAATGCAATATTAAATGAAGTGTATTATTATATAAATGCGATTGGAGATTGATCATCGCGTCAAAGCACGTAACGAAGAAAACGTATTCGTATTAATACGTAGTTTTTAAATCGAGTAAAAGGGGGTAACGTATAAATAATGTCTTGTAACGTCTTTTAATCGAAAAATCGATCAAGAGGAAGAATGTCACGTATGAGTATATTATGCAGTTAGCATTAAGGTTAAAATACTTGCAATGAATTATCGCTCTCGGAACAAATATGTGTAAATATGTACAGATTTTCAAACGTATTACACGAAACGTTTACTGGAAGTCTGTTTATATATTAATAGTTAAAATACCATGTAATAAAAAAAAAAATTTGTTCTCGAGAAAACACGAGAGTGATATTGTATATGATTTTTGTCTTATCTTTCTATACTAATGACAATGTACAAAAAAAAAGAAAATATCGTGTCACGAATAAATTATTATTGGATTTGATTTATATGTACGCGCATTTTATTGAACTGATAAGATCACCAAATTGTGTTTACGAAATGGATGTTATATTTTATAATGTTACTCCATAATCAAGGATATGCAATTGTAACCCGACGTACTTCCTCCTGCTCCTTCTTTCTTTTTTCATCGTCTTCAATCTCTTTCACTTTATGTTCTTTAACTCCCTTTATCTCTGTATTCCTCTCTCCCTTCCCTCCTCATTATTTCTTCTTCGCTTCGCTATATGTTTTCCTGTTGCAACAAGTTTACAAATAAAGCATAATACTTGTTTTAGTTTATGCTTGTTATTTCAATAGCACTCAAAATCGTTTTTTCGTAGTTACAGGATGATTGTCTTTGTACCTCCTTTTTCTAAGATACTTTGTACAGTTTGCGAGACTTCGAATTAGGGTGCTTTTTGAGCATTAAACGATATATGACAAAACTCATATTTGATATTTGTAAGAATGGAAGTTGAAAGTACGAAGGAACTCCGTCATCGCACACAACCACGATTCGAAGTCGACCAAGATCAAATGATAAAGTGTAATTACGTTAAACCGTAAGTCAATGAACAAAATTTGTTTTTCACATACGATCGAATAAGAACAATTTCGCAGAAGTAGTTCATAATTGGAGAATTTACTTGTTGACAGAAGTGTACAAACTTATTCGTAAAAATAAAAAATATCTTCTATTTATTTAAAGTTTAAATTATTTACAACCCAGATTTAATCAGCGCAATTACCTGCTAGAAATATCCTGTAACAGTAATTCAGTCTTCACGCACGCTTAATGTAATCGTCAACGTAATCGACCATGTTGACCTTGTTAATCTACAAATATGGGTTTAAATTAATTTAAAGTGATTTACATATAATTAGAGCGGTACAGCTTGTCTAATGACATTTGTAACGCAGTTTGTGTAATTGCGCAGATATTTTATCGTGCAAGATTACCGGTAAACCGTAAGCTCTTCTAATTTTTTTGCTGCCTCCATACAGATAAATATTTATGATTCGTTAAAATAATTCCGTTATGTTTTAAAATAATATCAACATTTTATGATTTATTTGCAAGAAAGAAAGAGAAATAATATAATATCTTGCAATCAAGACATTCATTATACTATCAATCTTATTTTTGCATAAGAGAAAATAGTTTTACTTTGATATTGTATAAAGAAAATTAATATTACAAAATTCATCACTCATAAAAATCATTTACAAATTTCTTCACAAGAATAAATTAGAATTTAAAATTCTATTCTCAATTCATAAATTTTTACTTCTTATAAAGATAGGCGCCACCGTTTGTCATGCTACAAAAGATCCATTGTATGGTAATCTTATGGTGTTACTACACTACATTTGTATGCTTCCAAGTTGTGTTGCAAAAACAGAAGGGGATATCATAGTATCTCTTTCATTGAATAAAGGTGTCTCGGATACTGTGCAAAAACGTAGAAACATATGATGTAAATGAGACTTATACATATTAAATAGCTTTCAATAATATGTATTTACTAACTGTATAATGTAATAATAAATACGAAATCCTGCGTATATTCGTCGTTATAGCAATAACTAGCTATATTCGATCGCGAAAATTAATAAATTAAATATGTTAGTAAAATTTTATCTATTAATTTAAAAACCTATATATTACACTTAATTCAAATAACACTGGGATTATGAAAAATATAATGGTACTTTGTGCAATAAAGCCTCGCATGTATTCAATTTTTTTTTTTTTTTTCTTATTTCACTGTTCTCTTATGTGTGCCGTTGTCATTTTCCTCAATCCCGAGTAATATATAATTTGTACACTTAAGTGTATTCACTATGAAAGAAATTTACAAATTACTTTTATACAATTTCGTGATTCTAATTATATTAGAATTATATTAGAAATAATAGCTCTCGTAAGATCCAATTTGACAGATACGTTGTTTCATGTACAGGACCTTATTTTTCTCGACTCGAGTTGATCCGTTTTACAAAAACAAATTGTATCTTTATGCAATTCTTATAAACTTTATGAAACGCAACATTTGGAATATTCCCCCCCCCCC